ATCAGAATTTTGGTCCAGATGATCATTGGAAAGAGTTGTAAAGATCCTATATTAGTGCTAGTAATTTTTATTATAATACTTTATATAGACTTGATTATTTAGTTTTTTTTTTTTTTTTTTAATATTGAGATGACCACTTAGATCTCTAGCACTTTATTAGTTCAAACGGGTAGGCCATATGTCTAAAGATTGGCTTATATATTATATCAGTATTACGAGAGTACAACTAGTCACATGTACAACTTTTAATTGCCTATTTAAGTAGTCTGCCCAAAGCGTTAGTGCTATGCTAAGGGTTTTACACTAGCTATCATATCTATAGCCTAACTAAGAAGCTATCTATTTAAACTCTCTGACTTCAACCAATATCACATGTTTCCTCCTAATATACCTCTTTTGGAAATAGTAATTTACTGTGAAAGACTCTAAGGCTTTAGCCAACAACAGAAGACATTTATCCTTGTGGTAAACCCAACAAAGTGGTACATATCCTATATATGTATTCACCTGCATGTTCAGTAATTTCTTCCCAATTAGTACATATTGTCTGCTACTATTGTGTTCGTATCTCATGCCACCTTTTGGGGTGCTGCCATAACACAATCTGTATCTCAAGCCCAACCTTCCTAATTAGTTGTCCATTACGTACTTCTTGCCCTTACAAGGTTCACAATAACCTCAGTTCCCGCATTCTAGCCGTTTCTTTACTCGGTTTCTTTATCGGTTCATTCTTAACTTCCAACCAGCAACCTGGACAGGTTGGTCTGCCCAGGCTTTAAGTGTCTGAAAGACGCTCTTTCCTTGGTTTATACTTTCGGAGCATATAGCCTTTTCCTCCAGTATATTAACTGGCAGTTCAGTTGGTGTGTCCCCCCACTAAAGAACCTGATTGCTAGGTTCTCCAATTTCAGGCCCTGGTTCAGATTCAGCCTTCCTGTAGAACCATCAAAAGTTATCACTACTCCCAATTCAGGACTTCCCAGGCAAGTTTCCTGTAGTTTTACTAATCCCCAAGCTTTATACGACCTAATTGGCTCCCAACTAAATCTTCCAGATACAGGCATGTACCCCCCTTGAACTAGCACCAAACAGACTCCCATACATGCATTGGTACAACTCAGATTACAGATCTTTAAATCTGATAATCACTACTAGTCACAGTAACACAGGCCTATTTTTTAAAATTCGTCATCTGTGGGATTCAAACTCTAAACCTGCTGCCTGGTAGGGTGATGACTAGACCACTTTACTAAGCCATCACACTCTCTGACTTGATTATTTAGTATATTCAATATCCCATAATTGTTGAGTATAAACTTTTGGTACCATATTTTGTTTGTTACTTTTTAATAAATTCATAGGATACTTTGACTAACTAATGTCAGCCAATCAAATTTTAAATAAATTAGCACAGGAGATGAGCAAAGTAATTATATATGTTGACAAAAGTCAACAATTCAAAAAACTAAACTTAGTGCCAATCTGACCCAGATCCATTTGATTTCAGACATATAGCACAAATTAGCTAATCTGCGAAACTTAGTGCTAATCTAACCCAAACTACACATAGTACAGAGCATATAATACAAATTAGCTAATCCACAAGCTACTGCTTACAAAGGTAATACAAGTTACTCCGACAAACTAATCAATGACATGCAGATGATTTATTGGCTAGTGTCTTACAGATCTTAGTAACACTATTAGATGCCACTCAAATTATATATAAATATGTCTAATCTAACTCTTATCAGCTCTATTTATAAAGTATCATAGAAACAGTATTTTGGTAATTAACCATAAACAATCAAATTAAAAACTTAGACAACAATCTATTTAACAATACAAACATAAACACTGAGCTTTCTGATAGCAATACAAAAACAAAGGTATATATTGATGCTGCATGTCAAACATCATCTAATAAAATCATCAACATGATCAAATCTTATATTGATCAATCAATAACCACTCATTTGAATTTAATTAACTAACTAAATGAACATATAGATATATCTCTCAACCAACAACAAAAACATAACACCCAACTCAACAATAATTACCAAGACCAAGAACAAACTACTCTACAACACAACTACGAATTTTCTCCAATTACTATTCAACAGCAAGTCAGCTACCACCAACAATGATAACAACACTAACTACCAAGATAACTGCCTCTTACTTCTCTTTTGAACAATTTATTACTAAATGCCAACTATGCCAGCTTACAAAACAAGAACAGTACTGCACCTCATATTCAAGTCAAAATAACAAATAATATAAAAACTAAAATGACTACAAGAACATATCTCTCTTTTGATTATTCAGAATTAAACAACCTGCCATCTGTTAGTGGCTTCAACAATTCCACCACAGTACAAATAGAACAAATTTGAATATAGTGGGTCCTTAACTAGTTCGAAGGCCAGAAATTAATCGAAATATTACCAAACAAACTGAGCCTACCCATGTGTTTATGGAAAACAATTACCTTTGGCAGTTATATTGACCTCTATAAATTTGCATACAAAAATCTCAAAGCTAACCTCAAGAATAGCAATAACGATCAAACTATTATAACCAACAAAGGCAATACTATTACTTTTCAAAAATGAAGCAATCACTATAAGTTTAATAACATTGCTAAATGGCTTTTAGCCTTCAAGTTGCATATAGAAGCTATATTAGTAATATATGAAATGAGAAAAAACAAGTTAAACATATACTGTGACTATATTAGTACTCTCTATATCAAATATGAGTTTTTAGCTGTTCTGAACTATGACAAATATTGCAGAATCCACTTGACAGTAAACTATAATACCACTTTAATCAATCATAATATCGAAGCTGAAGGTGAAAACTTTGATATGACTGCCACCAAAAAATTTTTTACCAGCAACATACCAAGGAGCTCCAGACCTGATACTACTTGGCACGATGAATATCAAATATGTATCAATTGGAACAGGAAAGGTTGCTACAAAAAAGTTAACTGCCAACGAGTTCATGCCTGCTTGAATTGCAAGAAATTTGGCCACCTTAAACAAAAATATTTTCTTAACAAACTCCTATCTATGAAGCAACCGGATAGTCAAGTGCATAACCACAGCCTAAATAAATAGCATGAGTAAACACTGAATTTAAATAAAAAAAAAAAGCATAAAATATATTATTAAGAATAATACCAAACTAAAAAAAAAAAAAAAAGATAATAAAGACATATATACACATCACTACCTTTTGTAAAAAAAAAAAAAAAGCTGCAATATAGTATGTACATATATAAAAAAAAAAGAAAAACATAGCAATAGTTAACACTCACAAATATTGTAAGAACTGAGTCCAATATATAATATTCAATCAAAGTGCAATTGCTTTCTTGTGATTATACCAATTACTTTACAATACTGATTAAAAAAAAAGTTTTTGATCAAATAATGAACAAAAAAGCACAGTTAAACAATATATATATAAGAATAACATTTGCAGATACACTTAATAATTAAAAAAAAAAAAAACAGACAAACAAGAAATCGCAGATACAACCATAGTTCTCAACTGGATTAGGCTTTAGACAGACATATACATGTGCATATAAACACATATATATTAAAAAAAAAAACACACATGTATAAGCAATAGAGACTTTTCTAATATAAACATATTACTAATATATACAATTGACAAATCTACATACAAATAAATATATCCCAAACAACCAACTACATGTAGCACAATTCAAGCTATCTTGAAACATCACAGTAGATGACGCTCCAACCTGTTAATGAAACTATTTCAACAGTACTCCCACCAACTACCCCTCTAACCAACATTAAAGTACAACTATTATAACAACTAGACTCATAGCAATTTGACATCCAAACCCCAATAAACATTATAGCATTCCAATATCTAATAGCAGCTACCCCAACTGGTCATTCATAGAATACTTAACCAACGGAATAAAACATAGCTTCAAATATAACTTCAAAGGCACTCGCACCAAAATTATACAAGAAAACTTGCGATTAATTAACATAGCCCCAGATGCATTTCATATTTACATAAAGAATAAATTAATAAACAAATACATATGCGGCCCATTATACAAGAATAACCTACCATACAAATTTTTCCAAACCAACTTCTGCAGGTTGGTTAAGAAAAAAGACTCAAACCCAACAGCATACCAGATTATATTTCATATGTCATTCCTAGCAAACAACAGTATCAATGACAGAATCGACAAACTAGAATTTGCAACAAGATATGATACTGTAACACATGCAATCAAATGAATAAACCATTTTAGAAAAAATTGCATATTTTCAAAAATTGACATAAAAGATGTATATCACATATTACCTATTCATTCTATAGATCAAATACCACAAGGCTTTTATCATAAAAATAAATTTACTTTGACAAAGTACTCGCATTTGGAAACTACGCATCTGGTGGCATTTTTTGCCATTTTGCTAACATCATAGCATGAATCGCCTTACAACAAGGCATTTTCACTATAATCTACTATGTCGATGACTTCCTAATTATCTCACCAACAGACGAGTTTCAAGAACTAAAGCAATTCATATGCATCCTGAATACTACAGTTGACTCCCGCAATAGTCACATCTCATATTAGTCACAATCGTGCTATAGTCATCTTGATTTTATTTACCTAATTATACAAACTATATAAATTCTTTCTTACTTTAGTCACAATTTTGCAATAGACACATAAAATGCTGATTTTAGCATGTAACTATTGTGGGAGTTGATGGTATAAACATACCTTATAAAGAAACAAAGTTGGAAGGCTCTAGCACCACTATCACCTTTTTAGATATAAAGCTCAACACAATCAACATGACTGCATCTATACCATTACAAAAGTGTGACAAATTAATACTTCTTCTAAGCCAATGGGTTAACAAGAAAAATTGCATACAGAAAGAACTCCAATTCTTAATAGGCTTATTGGTTTGGGCATGTCAAGCTATACCCAAGGCCGCCTCTTTATTCAACAACTTGTTATAGCACAAAACTCGTCTAACAATCCATGACACTATATACGAATAACCAAACCGATAACTTCTGATATTTAGTGGTAAATTTCTTTACTACAAACCTGGCCCAGAATTCAGCTTCTTCAAGACTGAGACTAGTGTAGCCCACTCACCCTGAACTTATATACTGACACATTAAACATAGGCAGAGATGCGACTACTTTACTGTCTTTAACTGGCCAAGTTGATCAACCTAGCAATTATCAACATACAAATGCGTGAGTTGTTAACCATGCTAATTGCTATACGAATCTTCACCCCTATGTGAAAAAGAAAAAAACTTATAATTTGGACTGATGATTCTGCCAACACTAAGGCATATTATGCGGGTTATTGCAAAAACCAGATATTAATAGCATAATTGCCCACATATATAAAGAACAAATCCTCAAAAATTTTTTCATTAAAATCCAACACATACTCAGAACAGAAAACACAAATGCAGACCTGCTCTCTTGAAACAAGCATTATAAATATATCACTAACAACCCTTAACCAGATTCCTCCAACCTGATATTCCTTCTAAATTCTTAGATTTAATTTCTTTAATTTCATCTCTTAAACAATAGTCATCCTCAATGCAGCCCCCACACCACAGCTTCAACCCAACTACACAACTAATATATATATCTTCGGCAGCCAAGAGACTTTAGACAGGAAAGCTACATCTATTCTTGATATTCTAACCCCTATTAACAAATTTTATGAAGCAACTATTAGATACTACAAATCTCTAGCAACATCCAATAAGTGGTTTAACTACAACAGATCTATCTGGCCAATATCAAAAAATTCCTTAATAAAATATATTACACTATTATACAAAATCATTTTCCTACCCACCATTATATCATATCTCTCTGCACTAAAATATCACTATACAAGAAATCTCTATAACTAGACCCACATCCGAACTGACTCTTTAATCATCCAACTTCTTAAAACCATTGACACAACTCATATCTATACCTTAGTAAAACAGAAAACCCACATTATCCAGTTCTATCTATCCCACATTAAAAATAAACTTGACATGGGTAACTTCACATATTTCCTTTTTTGGACCATTGCACTTACAGCATTCTATAGACTAGCACGCCTTGGCGAACTACTCCCAAGTAACCAATTTAACAGTGCCAAAGCCCCAACTCTACAAGCTTTAAGATTTGAAAAAACTAGAAACAATATCTTTACAACTATACAACTCACAAGAACAAAAAACTATAAAATGGCAAATCAGGTTTCATTAATAATCAACCCAATAAACGACGACTTTTGCCCAATATATGCCCTGAAGCAGTGTTGTACATGGACATATATTCAAGCAAATTATTGGACATGGATAGTCCATGGACACAATGTCCAATGTCCATGTCCATGTCCATGTCTATATTTTTATATGTTCATGGATATAAACATCCATATTTTTGTATGTCCATGTCCATGGATGCCTATGTCCATGGACAGTTTTGTCCATGTCCATGTCCATTGACAACACTGCCCGCAGGTATTACTCAATTTAAAAATGGGATTCTTAAACAACTCCAAATATTGTAGACAGTGACCTGTAAGAGAAAACTTTTTTTGCAATAAATGTTATCTGCAGAAAAATTATTCTCAACCTCTGCCTTAAACTTGTTCACAAAAGGTATTTATATTTTTGAACGTCACGTTACAATCAATGCAGTTTACTCATAGGAAGCATTAAAACCAGTGATTTAAAGGTCACCGTTTTAGGGTTCCAATCCGTCATCCGCTTATCCGTATCTAATTATCCGGATATCAATAGAAAATGGATAGTAAATGGATATCCGAATAAATTCAGATCCAGATATCTGATAGTTATCCAGATAAATGCTTAATGGATTGGAACTCTACACCGTTTCAATTTACTATAAAAGAATTTCTCATACTGTATGGATGTTGGTCACTCAAATTTCATAAAGTCGAAGTTCGCGACTTTTGCAGGGTAGCACACCTTCATAGACTTACAGTATGTTTTAAGCATTTATTAAGTAATAATAACAAACTCTTAATGCTTTGTATAAAGCATAATTAACTGCCTAAAATACACCATATGTAAATATCAAAATCAAATTAATTAATATAGGAGATACATTTCATATGCGGCAGAACGCCATGTAAATATACTAGTTCAAAACTTAAAGACTTGATCCTAGCATAAAAAATGGTAAATTAGAGAAGAGATTACGATTCAAAAAATTCATAAATAAAGTTATAAAAGTCTACCTCCAATTTTGAAATGGTTCGAGCTTTATCGTAGCCCAAGTTTTCGCAATGTTTGGACATTGCAGAAACCATGGGAGGAGGACCGCATAACAATATCTTGATATCATCGGCAGGGCGTGGACAATATTTTTGTATAACTTCAGGAGTAACGAACCCGGAACCGCCTGTCCAACCTTGTGGAGGCTAATTAAGATGAAAGGGTGGATGAGATCAATGTTCAGACAAAAGAATTTTACAATTATAAACATACTTTGTCTAATGAATAATATACAGTGAAATTCTCATGACGAGCAGCGAGAGAATCTAATTCGTCTTTTAAGAGAATATCATCATAAGTCACATTCGCAAATATAAGGCTGACACGCGTCTTATCCGTCGGATCTTTGCAAATTGCTCGGATAATCTAAATATTATTACGAAAAGAACGTGAATCAAAATTTTCTAAATAATAGATTACATGATTTTCAGTCGAACCTACCTGTAGCATTGGTGTTATTCCAGTACCACCTTTTAATACAAGAGGAAAAGTCACGAACAATTTTCTAAAAAAAAAAACAAATGCATGGTGAAATAAACAAGAATTACTTACCAGCGATCATTCCTAAAGCTCTCACTAATCCTTGTTTATATATAAATTTACCCTTAGGACCTTTAACAGTAATCGCTTGTCCCACTTCAAGACCGTCAATCCATTTTGATATGTTGCCATTAGGATAAGTCTGCAAGCGTGTTATAAATTATGAATATATTTAAATATAAAGATTTGATGTCATTAAAATAATGTACCTTTATAACAAGGTCAAAGTGTCCAATATCATCATCAGAACTTGTTGGTGTGTAACTACGTTGAGTCAAATTTCCATCAATTTCCGCTTGTATTGTAATATGCTGTTCATAAAATAGCCCAATTTTAGAAAATTTTAATATTACTGAAATCAGTGAAGAATTTTTTTAAAAAATATTTGTTCTTTGAGAACATAAATTTATGATTTTATGCTCAAAAAAAATT